GGCGCTGGGGACACGGAGGGAAGGAGCCCAGCACACCAGCCATGACAACTAACTCTCATCGTGCTTAGAAATAACACCTAGAAGACTGAATTGTAGTGCTGCTGAAAGCACTTTAGTGCTATTACGATATCACCATATGACCGAAAATAGTAACAGGTAATAAGCAAGGACATTGTAAACTAACCCTACAGAGTAACTCGGTCACAGAACTGCTTAAAAACAAAGCCTAAAATAAGAGAACCTTAAGCCACCTCTATATTCTGAGTTTATCTTTTTCTGTAAGAATGAACTGTAATGGATTCGGTTACAGGTCTCTTATCTGGAGAGGACAAACCATCTCCCCAGACCCACGTGCAAAGTTCTGTACCTGGAACACCTGGCTCGCCTTTTTCTCCTTTTGCTCCTAGCTGTTTCGGATCAATTTTTCCAGGTGGACCTGGCAGGCCTGCTTCACCTTTGATGCCTTTCTGTCCTACCAGTCCAGGAGGCCCGGGCGGACCAGGTAATCCATTGTTACCTACAGTAGGTACAGACAACAAAAGGAAAAAAAATCATCCATAAGGTAGGCTAATATATTTTTCTTACATAGGCAATCCATGATTTATTCATGAAGTCAGAATTCACTAAATGATCAGTCTGTTAATGCAAGGTTCTCCACAGCATCTTAAGCCCTGGAGCAAAGCTGAGTGAGTAGATTGCATGGGGACATCTGTATGCTGGAGTCTGTCAGCTCTGGCCAGCCCAGCTCAGAGGAAGCAGATCTTTGTACGACCCACATCGAGATAGCTCCCAAAGCCCCACCACACTGTGCCACTAGCACAGAGGAGTGGCAACAGCTACAGCAGCTTTGGATTCACAGCCTCCTTGTTCCGGGGAAACTAATGGGTTTTTCTTCTATCAAACTCTTTCAAAATTCATCTCCAACAAGGGGATTGGGAAAACATAGATAGAATAGTTTCTCTGTGAAACCTATAGATTCTGGATGACTCCATAACCCAAAGCTATGGTTTTCTTCTTTCCACTGCTTAGAGCAGACTTTGCAACATACTTCAGAAATATTGCCCTACCTTCAATGCCATCATCCAAAGGTAATGTTTTAAAAATAGCTAACATTTCATGACATCAATTAAAAAAGAGTGACTAAATGCTACGGCTTAAGACTGCAAAGTAATTCTGAACATCAACACTGTCAAAAGAAGATAACCTAAGCAGATCCCAGTAATGAAGATCTAGATGTTAGTATTACAAAGCCTCTTTCCACACAGGACATGGAAAATGGCATTCTACACTCCCTTCAGGGGTGAAGAAAAATATTACCTTTCAAGCCAGGCAGGCCATTTCTTCCAGGAGTTCCTGGAGGCCCTGGAGGACCAGGGGCTCCCATGACGCCCATCTCGCCTTTGGCACCTAAATACATTGAATCGCCATTGTCAGTCTGAAGAAAAATTCCAAACCTATCAGTACCTAACTTTTACTTCCCTGCATCTATATGGTATTTATCAACCAGCACGTGCATATAAAGCCCGTTTTAAGGGAATTGCAAGTGTTCAGTTCTTGTATAGATCTAAATCAGATAGAATGACATTTGAAAATTGTGGCAAATTTTCCACAGTGAAGTCCTGGGAAGAAAATTTGCAGTGCACTGCTCTTTACAGTAGAAAGCATACATGTTCCTCCAATAAGTTTAGCTCCCTGGTTTGAAACATAAATACTTGTTTGAAAGCAAACTTGAATTTACTGAAAGACAAAAAGACAATCAGGTACAAACTACTTTTAGTATCTTTTGTATCGCCCCTTCTATCTGAAGACAGAGATACTAAAAATTCACTTTTGAGATTTCTATCCCAGAAGGCGAAACAGACTATCTTAACTGAATAGTCTAACACATAGAATAAGGAAGTTAGTATGTAAAACTGTATGTTGGATCCAATTGATAGCATTTGTAATTATTTCCTTTTACAAATTCTATTTCTAAATTGTAACAGTGACTAGAAAAAAAATAATCACAAAATAAATCAGAAACATGTCTTAACTATGATGATCAAAGTCACATTTGAAAGTTATGAAACTGAATAATGTCAAAATACTTGAATCGAGTTACAGGGAAGAGTGGAGAGGTGACAAGAATTTTAATGCAACTAATTTTGTTATAATTTTTTTTTTTTTTTTTAATTATGAGATGTAAAAGGTTACATGTATCTAACTCTAAATGGATAGGATAAGCATCAAAGCTCATTAAGGTGGCACGCCCAAGCATAAAGAGCATCCACCTGTAACTACAGTTTGGTCTTTGTCTACAGATAAAAAAATGTGAACTTACCTGGAAATCCAGGTATTCCATCCCGGCCAGGTGGTCCAGGTGAACCCTGAGGCCCTGGGAGACCCGGGGGTCCTGGATATCCTGGGGTTCCTCGGTCACCTGGAGGACCAGGAACGTCGAAGCCTGGAGGACCTGGATCCCCTTTCTCCCCTGGAATGCCCTGCAACCCTAGACAATGTTGTTAAGACACAATTTTTTAGTAAAAAGTAAGGCAAGGCTGAGATCTGTGTGTCTCTGGGCATAGCACTGTAGCAATAGCTAAGTTTTATCTGCAGTCCATTCCTAGCACCGATGAAACCTCTGCAATTCTTCTAAAGCTATTTATTTTTTACTGGCTGCCAGGTGTTAAAAGGCAATATTCTCCCAAAGAGAAACATTACTAAAATTTTACCAACTTGTAGCAAACGCGATTCAGAAAATCTCAAAAGGAACACAACAATGCTTTTCAACAACCCTTTAAGTCAGATTAATAAAACAAAAAGCCAAGATTTATTAGACTGGTTTGTATTTTATCATTAAGTATTGAGATTCTTATCATATATTTCCATTAATGATTTCATTTTAGTACCGTCTAAGAGAACATCAGCTGAATATTTTGAAGGATAGCAAAATTCTGCATGGCATTATGTTTCCCTGAATGAAAAATAAGCCTGTTTTGACAATTCATAAAATTTTTTTAATGCTAATGATCCTGAGCTTGAGGCACTACTGAAGCAAGCAGACTGCTTGTTTCCCTCCAGTGCACTGTATCAGTGAAGATGCTCACTCTGGAAACGTAGCTGACAAATTTTCTTAAATCTGAAGTTAAGAAAAGGCTTTGGAAAAGAAACCACAGTACCTGGGGAACCTGAGGTTCAAAAGCCAACGAGTTAGAGCTCATCAGGAAGTTGAGACAGGTAGCAGTAAGGAGTTGTAATAGTCGTTAAGTTAGGAAACAAAATAAAGCACATACAGATTAGAACAAAGAAAAAAATCTACCCTAAAGTTACCGAAAACAGATCTACGTACAAAGAATACAACACTAATGCAGCTAAGAGAAACCAGACTGCAAGGAAACTTGGAGGTCTTTCAAAACGCAGCCACCACTGTATGCAAAACCAAGAAACTCAGTGAGATATTTTGAAATAATGATAGTGCTTTTCAAAAATAAAATTTTCCCCCTTTTTCCTTGTCTAGTATTCTCTTTGCAACTGGGGAACATGCTTTTTCTGAGCTGTTTCTTACACAAAACTAATTCCTTGATATTGGCTTGCACACCTTCTGAACAGAGTACACCCTTCCAATCAGCTGCATCACATTCTGGTATATCCCCTTCAAATAGGGGTTTTCAAAAGATACTTCTTTAAAACACAAACAACATCTAAATAATTTTTCCCCTCTTCTTTTAGTTCTATTATGCAAATTTACATTGTTACACCTACAGAGACAGTATATTGCATGTTACATGCCCTAGTATAGTCTACCGAGATTGTGACACCACCACGCCAAAACCTCATGAAGGCAGCATTACTCACTCCATAATGGTGACACCCGCTCTCAACTGCGGGAACAAATTTAGGAGTGATGTCATGATGTGTTCTTTGCACACTAAAAAGGAAGATAAAATTTTCTTGACAGCATAGACTGTAGACTTCCATTTATTTAATGATAAGCAAGCTCCCCTTTAGCAGCAGCTTATTACTGTGTTAAACTATAGTGCCATGTGCCTGGAACTGCTAACCTTGCAGAGAAAAAACAGTACCAGAGGATGGATAGGGACTGCATGTGCATGTTTAAGAGGCCTCTGCCAACAAGTAAAAAATAAAATAATGAGAAAATATATAATCCAGTAACAGGACAAACTCCCTATCTAGAATGGTAAAGATACTTTTTCAAATAAAATTCAAATTGAATTTCTGGTTCTCAAAAATGTAAACGTCATAATTAGAACAATAATAGACAACACAATAAATTCTAAAGTAATTTATTACATATTGAAAAAAAAGAATGTTGAGTTACTGCAAACTATTTGAAGAAATGGTGGTGCAGAGAAAGGAAACTGAACAGGGAAATCCTTTCAAAAATTTTCCAAATTACCTAAAAACCAGAGCCCCACAAACTTTACCCTAATGTTGCATAAAGGAACAGAATCAGAACAGCCTAGTAAAACAAACAAGGGATGGGAGATGGGAACGTAAGGCATACTGCACAAAACAGAAGTAGCAGCGCCAAGGGAAATAATGACTTATCAAGTGGGACCTTCAACCATGCACTAGATTTCAGAGCCACCATGCTGTTAGTAGCCACAGTGATTAGTCAGTACAGACACAAAGAGCGAAAACATAAGCATTTTAAATACACCAACTCTATAACAATTACGCATTTGTCAAAATTGGTATTTTGCATAATAAACAAAATCAAATTTTGGCTAACATCAGAAGGGGTGTTAGAGGAAGACAAGAGAACATGCATTGGATGAAATATTCAAATCCATACTAATAAATCCCACCCACCAACTCCAAATACACACCTGCATTGCCTTCTGTTTCAGTTCAGCCTTGAACCATAGGTTCAGGATGGTATAGTGAGCACAGTAAGCCAGGCAGAGGACCCGCCTGCTGGCTCAGGGAACTTCTGTGCACACTGTCCAGACCCCTTCTGTCCCTAGCTCTTAACACTGGACATACAAGGCTTGCTGCTGCAGGGACCACACATTCCTTTCCCCACTGGAAAACTTGTGAAAAAGTATACTTAAACATGGCCCATATTTTATGTATGTGAGTAGAACTCAAACTCCATGGGCCTACCTACTCAAGTTCTTGCCTACCTTCAAGTTAAGCACTTAGCTGAATCTCAGCTCACAGTTCATAAAGATCTGAGTAAGATCAACCAGTCTCTGACCCATGGTCTTACAGTTGGCCATAAATTTTTCAGCATGCATGGCAAACAATGCCAATCCCAGTGCCAGCACACTAACAAATTCAAAAAGTGTAGCTCATAAACATGCAACACAAACAGTTATACAGGCATGGCAAGAACCAGATGAGTTTTGAAATGTTTCAGCAGCAGGCATGCTTGAGTCCACAGAGAATGTTCTCGCTGTGATGACTGCCACACATTTGCAACATCGGGAGGTGGTGCACAGCACAGTAAACCCATTCACTGAATGAAGGGAAAAAGGAATTTCCCGGAACAAGTTTTGTGAATAGAATGATGTGCATGCATGCACATGTACCCTTTATGCACAAAGATGGAACCAGTTCATATCTTAGAATCGTAGAATAGTTTCGGTTGGAAGGGACCTTAAAAGATCGCCTAGTTCCAAGCCCCTGCCCTGGGCAGCGACACCTCCCACCAGCCCAGGTTGCTCCAAGCCCCGTCCAACCTGGCCTTGAACACCTCCAGGGATGGGGCAGCCACAACTTCCCTGGGCAACCTGGGCCCGTGTCTCACCACCCTCATAGTGAAAAACTTCTTCCTAATATCTAATCTAAATCCATCCTCTTCCAGTTTGAAGCCATTCCCCCTCATCCTACAGATCTTCATCAATCACCAGTCATTTTAGACAAAAGACAATCAAACTTCCATCAGAGACATTTTCCTAATTATCACTATCCTTAGATTCTACTTAGTCAATCTACTTTAAACCTATCAGGACTCATAAAACTTGTTGATTTCTCAGAAAAAAAAGTGTGTGAGCGAATCAGGAAGTCCAGAACTCAGAGGTTTCTGTAAGAGGAATTCTAAAGCTCTTTTCGCAGTGTGCTTACAACAAGATGAATGTGTATGACCTCTTCTACTGATAGGCTTTTGTTAAGACACTATCGTGTCACTACTTGGAAAACATTTTATCCTCTACAACACAATGAACCAGCTAGTTTGGAATACACATGCTTTCTTCCTTTCCATATCAACTGAGTTACAGTTTAACTAAAATTTCAAATTTAACTGAGTTAAATTGCTATTTGAAAGCAATGTAATGACAGCACAGGCAGCTTTCCTCTTCTGTATGCTCAAAGCCTCTGCGCTGACATTGTGCTGCTCCTTCTGCCTTGTCCTGCAGAGTACTGTGATAAACCCCTTCAGAGAGATTTTGTCACAGATGGTGCACAACACTTCCTAGAATTTCTGCTGAGGCTCCAAGTCTTCTCCAAAGCGGCCTTTTACACCCTTGAGACCTAAGTTGTGCAAATGGCAGGGCTGAATGTAATTCCACTTCTGATTTCAGTAAAAAACATGATATACCAAGCTTTACCTGCTTGACTGGCAAGACAGCCAAGCCAATAGACAGGAACTCTCTATCTTTCCCTGCCTATCTGTTCCGTAGGACCCTCAGTGCCCTGAGTACTTGCTTGGTGTATGCCAGAAATAACCTAAGGGTACAATTCATGCGAGTTTTACCTGGGGGACCAACAGGACCTGGAGGTCCTGGAGATCCAGGTGGACCTTGACCACCAATGCCAGGGATGCCTGGTGGGCCTGGGAGTCCTGGTGGTCCACTCGGTCCAGGGTCACCTAAAAGAATACTCTTGTTTAGTTAAATAGTGAACTCACTTCAGAGACACTTGCTTTCAGAAGCAGAGTGCCTGTGCATTGTACTTGAAACCTCATCCTTGCATGCAAACAAATATGGATCTGACACAAGAAAACACAAAGCCTAAAAACCCACTCCAGAGGCTATTTCTGAAAGCCAGAGATTTGTCCTCACTCTGCAGAATGCATGCAGTTTACATTTCTAGGCTGCACAAAGACATGTTATTGCATCATAATCCACATCAAACTTAACAGATGGTCTCCAGCAAACCAGGCATGCTCTGCAGTTCAATACAATGACTAACAATAGGCATTTGTGAATTGTTAACCCTCTACATGTTGAAGCACAGTACATCTATATGACAATTATTCTATTGGAAAAGTTTTACCCTCACATTCACATGATTTCTCTTTGGAATACAGACTTTCAGATACTGATCCGCAGATTGGTATTTACTCCTTTGCTTGCTTGTCTTTTGAGAACACAAGCTTCCATTTATACAGGTGTGTCTGATTTGGAAAAATGGACCCTGAAGTAATTGCTCTAAAGTCAGCACTGCTTGTATTTAACTGCCATATGATTCACAACATGTCTATATTTTTTAAAGTTCAATAGGGAACAAAAGGGAGAGTTCTCCATACCTTTGGGCCCTGGGGTTCCATCAAAACCTGCCCGTCCTGGGAGACCAGGGTTTCCTGGGAAGCCAGGATCACCTTTAGGTCCTTGAACTCCTTTTGTGCCTGGTGGTCCTGGGGGTCCAGGTGGTCCTGGAACTCCAAATCCACGATCCCCCTGTAACAAATTAACATTTATATTTTTAAGTTTTTTTTCTAAGTTTAACCTCGCCTAAAAACGCTAAAGTAGTAAAGAAAAAAATGCCCACCATCTTACAGTTCAACATCTTTTTTCCTCTGCTCACTCAAACCTCAAGTAGAGAATGTGACTTCCCCACCATCAAAAGCTGACAACAAGAGGTGAAATCCTCCCCACCAACTTCCTACTGACACAGAAGACACTCTAAGAAAGTGAAGTTTAATATAAAACACACACACACAGACCTTCGGTCCTGGGAAACCAGGTGGTCCGGGAGGTCCATCTAGACCAGGGCGACCTGGAGTTCCTGGAGCTCCGGGGGCGCCTGGAGTCCCTGGGAAACCTACACATAGCATGGAGGTTAGGGCAGCAGAGGGGAGGACACCAGAGAGCATTAGGACAACTCTTCCAGAAATGCTAGCTCAAAAGCATGCTTGAGGGGTACCCGTTTAGCTGAGATAATTTTTGAGTATACAGTCTTTGCCACAGAGGATCTCTGGGACTCCTCTCGGAGGAGGGTACTCCCCATGCTATGTGCTCTAACAAAGATTAGAAACAGTTCACATCAGAAATATTAACATCTTGAGGCAGCATTTGGAGATCATTTATTGGTTTAAGCTGAAACATTCATAATTTCCCAAAGTTTTACCCATTTTCTTGTGTCCTTGGTTTACTGAAAAAATGTAAGCTACCGTGAATGAGCAGTACAGCAAAAAGTGGAGTAATAGCTCAGCAGATTTTTTTCCTGATACTTCTGAAACTATTAAAAAGATGTATAAATTCAAGACAAACACTTTTTAAAGGATTCTAGAGACATAAATCAACTCACTATGAAAAAGTGAGGAGACAACCTTCTACATCCCCTCTTCCAGCCAGTGCAATACAGTAATATGACTGAAAACATACCCTTTGGGCCTGGTGGACCTGGAAGTCCAATGCCAGGAATACCTGGCTCTCCCTTTGCACCTGGGATCCCTGGTAAGCCACGCTGACCTGGCTGACCAGGATCTCCTGTAAAAAGAAGAAAATCGACATAGTTACCAAGAATCAGTCAGAATAAAAAGCTCCTAGAATTCCCTGAATATCTAGTTGCTGCTTTACCTGGAAGACCTGGGTCACCATTTCTTCCTGGAGGACCAGGGGGGCCAGGAACTCCTGGTTCTGTAATAGTCTGGCCAGGGTCACCTTTTGGACCTAAAATCAAAAAGAAAATATATGTATCACTCAGTAGGAGTTTTTCTGCCTTTTTTTTTTTTTTGAGCAGAAAAAGATACTAGCCACATCCCAAGCTTACAAAGAACTTGAACACCAGCAACACTTTACCCAGCAGGCTATCTGCCCTTGAGCCTTATACAGCACTTATAGGCTTAGAAGCATTTTTTCATGTTAAGGCAGTTTTCCTGAAATGTACCACCAGTAAATAGCATTTTCCATAGCTGACACCAGCACAACCTGATCCGGATCTGTGCAGTTGACAAGAAAGTAACAAAAGCAAACTTGTTCAAAGCAAGCCCTTGTTTTCAAAAACTGCTACAGTTGCAGTACTACTAAGCGTAAGCCAGATGGTAGTTACAATGCATTTCCACTATAGTCAGTTGAGAAGGAGAAACTTCTCTGGAGGTCAGAGCAGAAGTGCAAGTCATGTGCCTATAGTAACATAGCACAAATTCTGCTCACTTTGCAACTCTGATGACCTTCAGTAAGGGAACTTTTAAATACTAGCTCTTACAACACCTTTGGGAAAAGCTTTAATGCATCATTATGTTCTGAGAACTATCCAGAGCAAAAGGACAAAACTTTATTTTACAGCTTTTGTTCAATAGCACACAGAAACCTACTCACCAGGAACTCCAGGAGGCCCTGGACGGCCTGATACACCTTGGATGCCCTTTTCACCAGGTAAACCTTGTGGACCAAAACCAGGAGGTCCAGGAAGTCCTTTGTCTCCAGGAAGACCTGGTATTCCTGGATCACCTGGAATACCCGTTTCTCCTTTGAATGCAACACTGCCCTGAAAAAATTAAGAGCAGGATGGGAAAGAGGAATGTATGTTTACTAACAAAGGAGTAAAGTCCTTCATTGCTTCTGTTTTGAAAGTCTTTGGCAGTTTCCATCCTTCTAGCTCTCAAGGCCATTAGCTGCCTACATCTTACTAACATGGCAGAGGTAAGGTCTAAACCTGGCTACTTAATTCTTCACACTACACAGGTGAAATGCAGACAATGGCAGAATGGACTATCTGACACTACCCAAGAGAAGTCTCAGCTTAAATTTAGAGGCATTGACAGATTCAGGGAGTACCTCTGTACTTAACCACTAGATTGGCATCTAATGAAGATGATTACTGCGTTAGTTACATTCAGAATAAAGTGCATTTGCCAGTCCTTTTATCTGCACTACCTCAAATGCATCTAGGATTTCCCAAAACACCTGTCCAATCAAAGACAGCGCAAAATGGAACTCACAGGCTCCCCTTTAGGGCCAGGTAGACCTGGGAGTCCATCTCGACCAGGAGTGCCATCTATGCCAGGAAGACCTGGAGGTCCTGGGAAGCCAGGGTCTCCTTTGTCACCTTTCATTCTTGGAGAAGTCAGGACATCCCCTGGGTCTCCTTTAGGACCAGGTCTCCCAGGAGGACCTGGGGATCCTGGGAATCCCTGAAGGGAAGGGGGGAAAAAAAAAAAAAAAAAAAAGGCACTTTAGTTTTTCTTTCACTCCCTCTGAGTTTGGCACAATATAAGAATTATACATTGAAGGCAGTTATTGACAAAAAAACCAAGAATTATTCGACAAGAATTCGTGTCTACTGTGTACAGATCTACCAAACACGCAACACAAATGAGACACTGTTTTCCCACCAGAACATAACACCACCACTTACTGGTGGCCCTACAAGGCCAGTTAATCCAGGAAGCCCCTTTTCACCTTTTGGTCCAGGAAAACCAGGAGAACCTAAGTAGTGCAGAAAAAAGTAAAAGAAAGACATAAAACTGTAGACTGTAGAAGCTGTAAATATCAAGCATGCTGTTTACATAAGATAACAGCTGAGTTGTTTTAAAATCAGGCAAGGTTTAGTCTAGTATTTTGAGAGTTTGATTTTATTTGAGCAGAATGAAAATTTCCAACTCCAAGTTAAATCAGAAGCATCAAAAATGCCACACTTCAAAAACTCCAGCTCCTCTATCATTTTAGGAATAGTGAGTAGCAGAAGTCAATTTCTCTTTCAGTTAAATCTATAGCAGACCATAAACCTCCAATATGAAGAATGCTTGCAAGTCGGTCTTTGATCAGAATTTTTTTTGAAAGACCAGATTAAAAAAACCACAAGTGTTTCACATGTATCCAGCCTGTTTCTTCCCACCTATACAAAATAGGACATGCAACTAGATACTGGAGCTGGCAACTGTGCATCTGAATTTGTACAGATATATCATTGGCATTATACACAGATACTCAGACACAAAAGTGACTTTATAGAATATATTAAGCAAAATAGTGAAGAATACAGCCTTACCTGGACTACCTGGAGGTCCTGGTGGTCCTCTCTCCCCAGGAGGCCCAGTTATTCCAGTTCCTATGCAGTTGAAGCATGTGTCTCCTTGATCACCTAAAAAGATTTGCATTGAAAAAGCATACTTGAGCATCAAGCAGAGCATCTTAGAAAACATCAAAAAAACCCAAATCAGCAGAACAGCAATTGTTTTCTTGCTACTAATCTATAGCACCAAGTCCAAACCGACTATTTTATGTAGTTATATCATTGCTTAAATATTAGAAGGCTTCTCCCATGAAGGCCAGACTGAAGCTTTTTGGTCAGACAACCAATATCAGATATGATTAGAATTTATTTAGGATAGTACAAAATTAATTTAAACAAAAAATGCTTTCAATAATAAAAAACCAAAACTATAGACTTTTTTTCGTCAGCAAAAGTGTCTTCTTCTAAAGTAGGTACTTGACACTTCAAACTACAACTCTAAAACAGATATATCAAGATCCCAAACTTCCGTTAAACTCCAAGAGTGCAAAATAAATACTGGGAATGTTTCATTGATTTGACAATAGGCTAAACCTATTTCATTTAAAAATAAAAAAAAATGAATGGTTTCCAGAAGTTTAGGTATTTCCTTCACATACAGACTTTTCTGACATTCATCAATGTAGTATTTAAGCACTTCATGTAGGTCAATTATCAATCCTTACAATCTCCATGAGAAAAAGACTTCTGTTTGAAAGGAGTACAAAATTAAGTGAGATGCCCAAAGTCATCTAGTATGTCCATGGTTGAGCTAGGAAAAGATTCTCACTTACCCATATCAGCATCCTCATTGCAAGGTTGTCTTTTTGGAAACAAGGATACACATTAAAAATGTCTTTCTTTCGCTCACCAAACAAACTCATTTTAGATTGACCAACTCAAATTAGGAATCTTGAATATATAATTTCAATGTTGCTTTCCATAAAAAAAAAGTCAAATTTATTCATGAAGTAAGTATAAAACTTTTTCACAGAGAGTTGGCAACTGCTGTTACAAAGCACTTGGTTTCTGTCTACCTGGGGGTAACTCATAAACCTGAAGTTCCATTTTACTTTAATCATGATCCATACTAGACTCTAGCAATCTCAGTCACTTTGAGATTCCTGTGCTTTAACACTAGATGAGAGACTATCCTACACACAAACAAAACAACTTTCTTACTCAGAAACAGAAAATATCTGCACTCAACCCTACTAGGAAGAGCCACTGTTTATCCTTATTTAATGCAGGCTTTACATTGTTTAGCAAGCTGTAACAAAAAGAGAAAAAACAAGATAACCATGACACTGCACCTTTTTGGCCTCGCTCCCCTGTAAAGCCTTGTTCTCCTGGAATTCCTGGAGGACCTGGCGGTCCCTGTTCACATAACTCTTCACCTAAGGAGAATTGGGAGAAGTTCAATGATCCATTTGTGTTAGACTGACATGATTAATACATGTATTCAGTACAAAAAGGTACCTCGTAGTATTTGTGTAGATATTCCAATATATTCACACAACCACAGACCAAGTGTTTTGGCAATTCAGACAGAACTGCTAACAAAAACCCACCAATGTAATCCAAACTCAAAAGGAAACAGTGATATTACACAACAATCATCAGTTCTCCTTCACAACCTCAACTATATTCAAGTACTTCCCACAGCCCGCACAATTCCATCTCTACACTACAGTCTGCTATTCAACCTTATAACAAAAGGATGTATATGAAATGGAGTGAGAGAGACTTAAGATGCCAATGCCACCTAGACACTAGATTCCTCCCTAAACTGCGTTAACCCCTCTCCACTAGAGCTTTCCAGTTAGAATCATAGAATGGTTTAGGTTGGAAAGGACCTTAAAGATTATCTAGTTCCAACCCCCCTGCCACGGGCAGGGACACCTCCCACTAGACCAGGTTGCCCAAGGCCACGTCCAGCCTGGCCTTGAACACCGCCAGGGATGGGGCCTCAACAACCTCTCTGGGCAGCCTGTTCCAGTGCCTTCCAACCCTCAAAGTAAAAAACTTCTTCCTAATGTTTAATCTAAACCTGTTCTCATATTCCATCTCCCATTCCCTACTTCCCTTATACCAAAAAGGAGCTAAGAGCCTTCATCCAAAGTGTCCACTCCCAAGCTAATTTTGTGTAGTCTACACACTAGAATATTTATCAAATGAAACTGGAATTCTGTGAAAAGTTACACTCCTTTGACTCGCCTGGCATCACAACTCTTAATAGGGAATAGCCCCTCCAAACATTTATGAGATTGTACCACAAAAGGTAAATTTACTCAAGACAGTGTCAAAGTGGTTACCTCCTGCTTTATGCACAAAATTTAATGTAACTGTCATTAGTTGGATTAAAGGGGACATAACATAAATTGGAAAAATACTAAATTTTGTACATCTGGGCCAAATCTGCTTGGCCCTCAAGGACTGTCATTATTGGGTGAGTTTGCACAAAGGTCCCTCAAGTCTGACAAAATTTCCTCTCCTCCAGTCTAGCTGAATCGCAAAGGTAAGTCACAGCAGGGTTTACTTGAGGTAGGAGGCGGCATGATAAAGCCAGACTGCAACTCACACCATTGAATTCTCAAATTATGTAATTAGCCTTAAGGCTAGAGTTCTCCTACAAATGTCCTGATTTGCAATGGGAGCGACTTGGAGAATGTATATGGATAGCTTGGAATATGATGGGCTTCAGCTGCTGATAAACTACATCTTTGAAGGCAGAACTTAAAAAAAAAAAAAAAGGTCAAAACTCTTCAGTCTCTTCTACTTGCTGTCTATATGGTCATCACTTACCAGGAGGAACAGATGGTGCAGGTGGCCCTGGGGGACCTGGTGGTCCTGGAGGTCCTCGTGGTCCATCAAGTCCTGGCTGCCCAGGAATAGAAACACCAGGTAAACCTGGATCTCCCTTCTGTCCCCTCTCACCAGGTAAGCCAGGTGGGCCAGGAGGTCCAACAGCAGTGATTCCTAAGATGGGAAGAACTCAGTTCCTTGATAACTCAAAGGTTTAAATCACTTTTTTGCAAGAACGACAATGATATGCGATGAATAATGCTACAGATAAGACTGTGTCTTTCGATGTAAGTACTCCATAACATTTCTTTTATGGAATCAAACTACATGATGTGCAGTGTTTGACATACACGCATTTTGTATTTTCAAACATTTTTGTTTGAAAAATTGCCCTGAGACTCTACAACTAAGTTTATGAAGTAAAAAAAGTAAAACAGGACTAATGAAGTACTGAAGGAAAAAAGAATGTTTACAAGCTGTAACATTAGAATCATAATGTTTTTCTCTGTGCTTGTATAAGGCAAATACAGGTGTCACAGCTCACTCCCACTGCAGACTCAAGTCATCTCCTCCTTTAGTACTGGCAGTCCAGCAGAGTACTAGCAGTACTCTACTACTGGCAGTACAGCAGAGACTAGGTTTGATGGCCAGGTACCAGACATCTGGTACACAATATTTTGTCTGTGAAATGCAATGGATAGTGTATGTTGTAGTGAGATGAGATAAATTACCCCTAAGACCGTTAAGCTAGTATCTGTTTAACAGCCTTGATGATTAGCATCATCTGTTTACCAAAGCAAGGGCAATGAACGTTCAGAATTCCTCATATGATCCCCATAAGCTAAGGACCACCCTTTACGCTCAAAGGTAGCTCTAAATAGCCTTCACTTTCTGCTCAATCCATCTGTCAAAAGGAGTGTGAAAAGACTGAAGCTAAACACCAATTTTACATTTGAGCATATAGCTTATCTTAATGCTTGCACTCCTACCTGGAGAACCTGGCAAGCCAGGCGGTCCCGGCCTACCAGAGAATCCACGCTCCCCTTTGGCTCCTGGAAGTCCTGGCAATCCTTTGCTACCTTTTGGTCCCACTGCTGGATCAATGCCTGGTCTTGAAATGACCTGTAAATGTTTCATGCTCATGTGAAACAACTCGCCAAGAAAAGAGTCACTGAAATGGTAAAGCAATGAGAGGGAGGAAAAGTTCAGACTTCAAACCTTATACCAATGACAGGATGCTTTTCCTGCTCCACTGAATTACCAGGTAAAATTCCAATAAAGAGCAATCCCCAACAGGAAGTATTTTTACTGCCAAACCAACATGGTTAGAACAGGCTTCAGTGAAGCTGACTGCATTTCTGCTGGTCTGAGGTTATAGTCTAACTTTGTGTTTGTAACCTAGCAAATCCTAGAGCACAGAATCGATCTTGAAGGAAGGAAACAATCACTTCTGTTGGTGAATATATGAAATCTTTACTGGTTCTGTTATTGTTATACCTGGAGACAGGACTCACAGTCACCCAAGAACTATGATGAGACAACACTTAACCAAATGCAGAAAGAAAGAAAGGATCAGCAACTTACAATTCCAGGAGGACCAGGGGGACCAGTGTCACCTTTTTCACCCTACCAATGAAGTTAAAAGCATTTTTTATACTGCACATTAGTACACAGGAAAGTTACTGCAAATATTCCTCAACACTCTAACAGCATAGACAATGCAATTACTACTCAGCCAGAACTGAACTCAGTGACAGCAGAATTTCAAGCTACTATAGCAGTAATGACAAAAAAAACTGGCATACCTTTTCGCCTTCTCTTCCTGGAGCACCACTTATTCCAGGCCCACCAGGTAAACCCTTCAAGAGAAAGATAATCACACTCAGATCTTCTCCGTATCAGAAGAAAAGCTTATAAAAAGTCTGCTTAGTTTAGAAGTGTACAAGTTACTCACATCCCTACCAGGCTGACCAGGTTCTCCATCTTTGCCAGGCTTTCCCTTCAAAGACATAAACATGCATTGAAACAAAATGCTTCAGTGGTGAGGAATTCTTATGGAAACAGCATTAATTATTTTCTATTTTTCAATAAACCAAACTTTCTCTAGAATGCAGTCCTTGTGACAAATACATCAAAGACATCAACCAAGTATAATCAATGGAGTTATAGAAACTGAGGTTTTCATTTTGAAAACCAGAGCACAAAACCATGACAAGTCTCAAAGAAATGTTGTGTGAATACAGCACAAAATAATCTCCAGTTAACTATTGCTGATTTTAATTACTGCTATGTTTAGTAACTCCCTTTATTTTAACATTAGAGGAATCCTTTATTTGGAAAGCAGATCCTAACTCCCTAAACACTAGAACATTATATTTAATTAGGAAATTAGTGTAATGCGACTGGTGAAATGAAATACAAACATTGTGTTTGAATTTTAACTCTCCTTTAAACCAAACGCAATTTTCTGAAGAATAGTATCAACAAAACCAAAGTGCAATTCTGCTCCAAGAAGTGACTTCTAAAAACCATACATTCTTGCTACACAGATTTGTCGTTGCTGCAATAAAAGTAATGCAAGCTCCACTTTATTCCAGAGCATTCACTGGGCAAGACAAATAGAATGCTATTGTTAGCATTACAAAAACAGTACATATGGAGGACACCTGCTGGAACATAACTAGAATAGAAGTTTCACCAGAGTGCCGAGATCAACTCCCATCACCGAGAAGTTGATAATAAGACCTGACAGATAAAGTGTATTAAAGTATAATGTGATTTGAATTCTTTATTATTAGTGATGAGTTCCGATTCTCAAAAATTAGTTTTTAAGACTGCCTGTGAATTTGCAGAACTACCTGTTTCATTATATATACTGACATTTTTATGAGTATATCTGAAATGTGTTTGAGCCATACAGAATCATATGGAGTCCTAAAAGGCAGCTTTAGACTAACTTAATAGCAAAACTGCACTTTAAGTATGCAACATGCCCAAATTCAGAGTAATAAAAACCAACAAAAGTGTTGGTAAACAAGCTTTTAGCAAAAGGCATCTGCCATATCCCCTCAGGACTTTTATTCTTTCAGATCTTGGCAAATTTATGTGGTTCCCCATTTATTTTTGCAAGAGAGAAGCAACTTGGAAAATACAATACAAATACCACTCAAAATATAATGAGAATTTTGGCTTTGTAAGTCTGCCTCATTTCTTATGTTCCTTAAAGAAAGCCAATAAAAGCCCTACTATAAATCTCAGCAACTAAGAAGGATTTTATCTAGAATACCAAGCATATATTTCCATCGTATTTCTTTGCCATGGAAGTTGGAAAACCTATTACCAACATGTTTCTAAACAGTGTTTATATATCGTCCAATTAACCTGAGCAAGACTTGTGTCTTGGTTTTCAAAGGGACCCATTATGTTGATGAAATTACGGGTTCAGTAGGTGTGAAAGTGAAAATACAGAACGCTTTGAGCTGGTAGCAGCTTATCTTTTCTTTGCTGGTCTAGCCCATGTTATTCGCATTCTATTTCTTTGCACTTCTATGATCTTCCTCAGCTATTCTGAACTGTGATATCCAGGATGGATTTGAGTCTGGACAAGAACAAAGTGACTTGTGCTATCCTCAGATGCGGCTACCCTGACTTGGTCCCTCCCCAGAGAGTCCATAAACTGAAGTAGTCTCTTGAGAAGTGACAAATTGACTTTTGGTCTTAATGCAGTGTTCTGAGACCCGGTTTTGTGACTCACCTCACAAGTAAACCCACTGAGAATGAGTTTACATAGATCAGCTTAAATATACACCAATTTCATGCTGCTTGCCAACTCAGTACCTAGCAAACTGAATGAAGACCCTCTCTAAAAGGAAACAGAAAATTGCTGCTTCAGTGAAGCAGTCCAAAAACTTTGAAGGTTTCCACATGTAACCAGATAACATCATTCAAATTAGTTTCTCCTGCCCCCGAAACTAAGATCTACATGTAGATAATTCTATCAGATAGCACTGAGAGATCCATAGCTAGACACAGTTTCAAGAACCAGATGTATCATCTACTAGCTTGCCAAATTATGGAAAACAAAAAAGTCTCTTACCCAGAGGCTGATGGCCCCACCTGAATTCAATATATGCTTAATTCTCAAAGATAACACTGATTGGAAAGATAAATGTTTGGTTAAACAGACTACTTACTCTTTTGCCTGGTTCTCCTTGCTCACCTTTTTCACCTTTTACGCCACCGGGAAGACCCTGGACACACAAACGTCATCTTAAACTGAGCCCACAAGCCAGAGCAGAATGAATTTACAGTTCTGATACAGATGCAACGGAAAAGAACTAGAAGAGGACTACTCACAGGAGGACCTTGTGGCCCAGGAAGTCCTGGTGGGCCTGGATCACCTGGAATACCCTGTCAAGCATGGGCAAAGAAAGAGGATTAAAGCCTCCATCACTCCCTAGTAGCTCAGTTTATTATTATTATTTTTAAATAGAATTTTTTTGCTGTCGTTTAGATTTCCAAGTACTATGAACATTAAAGGATCATATTTATTCTTTCTGTGCGTGGAACTTTAAGTGCATCTACAACTTATTAACTGCTCATCCTGTTTATTTAGATGATTCACTCCACTAAGACAACTACCTCCTGCATGCACTGCAGCAGCTGGTTTGGTGGCCTGCAGCTGCTATACAATAATAAAAAGGAAGAAAAAAAAAGGGAAGAAAGGAAGAAAGAACGAACAAATATCAGACCCTGCTGAAATTACAGGAGCAACAGTCATTAGATTCCTGGTAATTGTTGAAGTTGTGAGGACATCATGGTCAATAATGTGTTCAACAGAAAAGTGTCACAGGATCACTGTGTTAAAAAGTTAGGGTTTCTATTTTGTCTTGTTACACCTCTGTACAAGTTCTTAAATCTCTACACCATTAGCCTAAAGAAAAGTTACAGGGTATTGAATCCACAAACGGTTTCTGTGCAGTTTCTCTTATTTTCTTAGATGCCTCCAAGACTTTTACAAGCCCATCTATATACTTGATTTTTCAGTAAGAGATCACAGGTAGAGGTAAATACCAGAACTTCATGTGTACTTCATAAAAAAAATAAGTGTAGTGTTGACAATTTTTACTGATTGTGTACTACCAAGCATAACCTTTACTAAAAAATACATTTTTAAACTTTGAAATCATTATTAATATTGGTAAAAGACAACGCACTCAGACTGTGTTTGGAAGTCTTAGTGCTTTAAAAGGAATGCAGTTAGAATACTTTTATTTGGTACATTTATGTAACTTCATGCCAGTATATTCAGTCCTTCAGAGATCACTGATGACAGAGGCAAATTACTCTGACCCTAATAAAGTCAGATTGATTTTTGCTTCAGGTATAGTGTGGTCAAAACATCACCTTGTGTTTTCTTAGAACTATAAAGACACAATGCTGCTCTTTACGTTCTGTCCTACTGCTTTGGTACACAGCATTTTTTTTTTTTTTTGGGCAAGGTGTAGGATAATTCTGCCCTTCATCTTCATCAAAACCATATGTTACCCTTCCTTTCAGAATATCATTAGGCACCACTAAGGCATTCCCTAGCCCTATCCACTGATGCACGTTTGCAACGCGCAGTCATTCTAGAAAGGTCTCGGGATCTGTTTTTGTCTTGGCATTTATGGGTGGGGAAGTAGCCATACAAATCAAACCAACAGTTTGAGCTTACTGTCATAATATGGCTTGATATTTACTTTTGAGAGGCCAGAAACAGGGAAAGCACTTCATTCAGACCACAAGGAAGAAAGATCTTGGGGCATCACTAATGACAAGAAAAAAAAAAAAGGAGAAAAATAGAAGAAAAGAAACAATTTGAGTTAAAGTTTTTTAAAGCCTTCTTCACAATGGATGACACAGCTGGTTAGTTAGTGGGAATCTGAATCCCCAGACAGCTTTGAAAATCCCAGTCTGGACGTTCCAAGGAATGAGAATACTTTAACTGCTTTTACTGTTCCTGTGAACTTCCTTTGAGAGTTTCTTACAGATAGTTATTTTACTAAGGGAAGTAACTGAGCTAACTGGCATGCCTTCTATTAAAAGAAAAGTACTCAGGCCAGAAATAGTCACTACTTTGGAGAAAAATAATAGAAGTAAGCAAGCAGGATATGAGTATATATAAGCCAAACCAATGGAGGCTGCAGCTTGATCACATGCTCATTGCAGATGGATATAGTTTCCCACTCACCTGATCTCCTTTCTGAAACTCAATGTCATTCGGTCTCTTCTGTTCTCCAATTTGTCCTGGTGGCCCTGGAGGTCCCTGAAGACCTTGTTCACCCTAATGTGCGAGAAGATTGCAGGCTATTACAGGCAGTACAAGCCAAAATGGCACGCATAAGTATTTTGAAAGTAACAAGCAAAAACATCATCAAGATCACATACTCACTTTTTCACCTTTGGGTCCTTGGAAATTCAAGCCCATATTACCCTGCAAAAAGTATAACTCATCAGCCCTTAGAAGTCACAAATGACCAGAAAGAAAAACAAAACAGTCCACCACCACCACCGAGGGAAAGAAAAATACCTTAGGTCCTGGCAGCCCTGGTGGACCAGGAGGTCCCTATTAAAAAAGGAAACAAACAAAAAGGTAATTTCAAAGCACTTTACATGCTCCCTTGAGGGGAAAAAAAAAAACCCAAACACCAAAGAACAATGTTGCTACTTTGACCCCTGTGCATTATACCCATGTTGACAACGCACCTTGCCTTACACTGAGAGCTCTTCCTCATACTATTCAACTTCACAAATATGAAAGAAATTAGTTCTTCCTTTAAGTGACAGAGTCCAATAAAATTAATTAGTCAAGTATTAAGCATTAGGCAAAGAGTCATCCTGGTCTAAATAAGCTAAATCTTGTCCCTCAGGTTTCACACAAATAAGGAGCCTGAACAAAGAGTCAGCCTGGTTTAAAGCAAAAAGAGGTCTGGGAACAGGCTGAGCGCTTCAAATGTATCACATCTAAATGTGCACTGTGGCAGCTCCAGGGTGAACCGAATGCATGGTTGCTGTTGTCTTCATACCGAGTCTTGACTTCCAAAATCTCTGCACTTTACCGGCCTGCCGCTGAGGACATGACAAAGTAGTAACTGCCCCATTTAACACTTCATGGATAACAGGTTAAAGAAACTTACTGTCAAACCTGGGGGCCCTGGAGGGCCAATTGGACCTGGTACTCCCATGGAGCCGGGTGGGCCCTGTTGAGAAAACGGAGGAGGCTATGAGAGGCACCTTTTTATGGAAAAAACAGTGAGACATTCAAGGTCAAAACCACCCAGTAGCTGGCACCCCATACACGTCAAATCAAAGTAGCTGACCACTAACCTACCAATTTGTCCTTATGGAAAGGCCTAAAGGAGTGTACATCGTGTTAGGAGTGTTCTGCTCTCAACATCAATACATCTTTTTGGCTTGGATACGGGAATGTGTTTTTTTGTTTTGTTTTGAACTACTTTTGCTCTTTCTTTCTCTTCATGCACTGAGAGAGAACAACAAAACACTTTGTATTTGTGATTCCTTCCAGCAAGAAACAGACAATAGGGAAGCACAGATCAGAGGAACAAAAATGCTAACAGGCTCAGTCTGGTCAGAATAGCCTGGGGCTTGCCTCTCTGTACCAGGAAATGGGAGTCTTTGGCTTCTATCCAGTCCAGGCCGATAGACTCATTTTCTGCTCCCCTTGTTCTTCCACTAAAGCAATGAATGGCTCAGTGGGGAAGCACAGGGCCTGGAGTCACTAGCTGTTTTCACAGAAAACTGGTGGGAGAACAGAAACACTGTTCAGGATGTGCAACATGAGGAGAACAGCTGAGATATTACCCTCACTTCCCACCATCAAAATAGTGGCTACAGCCCAGAAAGGCAGATGTTACTTGCTTTACCTCAGGGTGAAGAAGGGAACTCCAGAACTGATACAGAGAATGTCCAGGAAGGGGGAACAGGCAGGAGAAACAGAAGCAAGTCAGTGTGAGTGCGGCTGTCTGCTGGATACCACTTTCCTGACTAGGGGACCTTTCTGGCCTCTGTGAGTCACCTTATGAGGAGCAACATGGAAGCACTTACTTTCCCTGAAGCCATAAACTAGAGGTACATTAAATGTCAGCTTCTCCATGTAAACATATGGATCCCCTAGCACCAAATGTTCCAATTGTGCTGTAATGCAAATACTTTTCGTGTTCTCTTTTTGGCAGAACACAACCTAATAGGACTTTACACAACTTACAGGTATCCCCGGAAGACCTGGAAATCCTGGGTCGCCCTTCTGTCCTGGCAGCAAGGATGTAATTATTTCACCTGCTTCACCCTAGGAGAAAAAGAGCTGACTTTTAATTAAAAGCATATTTTATAATTTTTTATCACCATTCTGACTCCAAAGTACATATAGAGGCTCTTAAGACTCAGAGACTCAGAGTTATGCTACACCCTAGGAGTACTCTTATATTAATGTAAGTACTAGATCCTCCAAGAAGAGCTCTTTTTAGGAGAGATCTTTGTATATTTGGAGGATTCTTTAAATGGCTAAACTACCAACTATCAAAAGTTCTCTTTTTTTTTTTATATACAACTATATCAGCATTGATTTATCTTCCAAAAGATTAGGGGACTGAAATACAAACGCTTCACAAAAGAAAGGCATTCTAGCTCCATGTGAAAGCAACAGATAGAACACAACAGAGAAAAGGCTCATGCAGCTTTTTCCAATGTTCCACATCATGAGATAAACGCTGAGTATGCTGTTATAATAGTCATGCTTTGTGTGCTATATTGAAGTACAGTTTTTTTATTGATTTCAAGGAAGATCTTTGTTTTAAAAGTATCTATGTTCTAATCAGCTTGCCTTTTAATATCTTTAAAACAATTGGGAAGAAAAGGAGCTGAGAAAAACAATTCAGCTTAAAAGTCACCATTTCCCAGCATCAGTGTTATGCTGTCCTCTCAGGAGTTAATCAGAATAATTCTGCGGGCCATGTTTCCTTTCAAATAGGTTTAAACCAAAACTGATGTTTTGGGCCATGCTCAAATAGGTCAAGGATACAACAAAACACCCTTGAAAAATAAAAGGGGTCCTTAGGGTCTAAAATCAGATTATGAGACTGTTTCCATTAGGAGAAAAAGCCATCTAACAAGGCAATCTATACAGTGGAAAGCACATTTCTGAAAGTAACATAAGATGTTGCACTGTTCTCTTCACTGGATATTTCAAGTTATTTTTGCTTAGTCTCTAGTAGTGTCCTTGAGCACGCACAGGTAGACTACTGGTGCACTTGGGTGTTGGTAGGCATTTTGCTAACTTGATGCCTCTCAACACAAACAGATACTGTCCCTCACACTCCCAAGCAAACCAGCTTCAGAAAACAGTCTGCTACTTCTTGAACTACTGACTCAAATTGAGTAAAGCTACTGCAGAATTTCCAGTTAGTTGCACTGGAGTGGCCTAGAAACACTAAACTTTCTGCAGAACATCACTCCAGGTCACAAGTACATGGTCTTGCATAAAAGCAAGCAGGTTACTCATGCCAGATCACACTGCACACCCATGCCTTGTTAGTACTTCAGTGTGTGAGTACAGAACACTTACCTTCATACCTGGCAGACCAGGGGGTCCCTTTGTTTAGAAGAAACAAAAACAAAAGAAAGATCAATAGAAATAAATCATTGGTATGTTATTTGCAAACCACTAATCATATCTACACCATGAGGCAAGCATTAAAGATAGAAATCTAAAAAAAGATACAAAATAGGAGAAAATAAAATTTTTTATGATCTTCAGAATCCAATGGAAAAATTAGAGAAGTACTTTCACAGTGAATGTTGAGCATTAAAAAGGACTACATTTCCATCTCCTTGCAATTTGTTCCTTTATTGCTTTATTGCTCCTATTATCCATTCTGTCTACTACATTTCTTTTTGTTTGTACTTGGGTTCTGACAGTCACTTTGCTGTACATCCATGTGTTTTATAATGAAAACACCCAACACTTTTTTCTGCCCCATTAATCACCACTAAGACTCTTTAGATATACTGGATGACCATATCGAGATCTTAATTCTGAGACATATGCACGTATTTGTATTTTTCTGCAGGTGGAAAAACATCTCGGTGTGTGAAAATTCAAAGGGATTTTCATTAGCTTTACCACAGCATGCAGCAGAAAAGCTCACTCTTATTGGACATCTAAAATATCCTGATTAACCATAAAAAAGTTTAATATATCCTTACTTATTAAAAGACCAACTGCAAAAAGAGGCTAATATCTATCTGATCTTTCACAGATCTAAGTAGAAGTCTTTTAGTGGATTACAGGTAGCTGATCCAGAAATCTTTTACTTACAGGAGGCCCTTGTAAACCAGGAAAACCTGGACTGCCTGGGAATCCACGCTCTCCCTTAGGGATGAAGCAAATGATTAGCCAAAACCAAACCAAAACATAACAAAAACAGATAAACAAATTTTCACTCAAAAGTCCAGTTTCATCATTAGCTTATGAGTCCAGAGTAGCAAACTGTATGGCCAGAAGCTATAGGATATACAGTTTGTTAAATCATACAACTGACTGAAACAGAACTTTCCACATTCAGGTATTTCCACATACTTCCAGGCAAAATACCATACTACAGAGACAGAACACACACATAGTGCTATAGAAGATCAATTTCTTTCATGGAAAGATCATAACCTGAAGCTAAGTAACATGATAGAATGAAAGTGACTCCTCCCAACAAGGATAATGAATCAGTATTTTGACTGCAGTATTATTAAAAATAATTTAAAAGTCCTACTGTTAGGCAATGAGTTTTCCTTGGTAGCAAGAGTCTACTAGAAAGATGAGATGCAGTACATGATCTAGTTATCAGACACTCCTCTCAGTTGCTTGCTATAAAATTAAGGATTAGAACAAAGAATTTAACTACACTGGCTGCAGAGTATAAAAGTTATGTCTTAGTGTTGGCAATTTCTGGCAAAATGTGTGCTTTAAGTATCAGACCATGACCCCTTCTCGCAGAGGTGTGCCTGAATTATCTTGGAATTACCTGCACAAGTCAATAACAAGTACTGCTGCACATCATAAACTAAATCTACTGGCTACAGCCAGGAGAACAAGAGCTCTTTATCATATTATTGTTGCATTGTTAAGAATTTTAAAGGGATTCCACCTTTGTTCCATTGCATCCTGGGATACCCTGAGGTCCTGGTGGCCCATCTTGTCCCGGTAATCCCTTTAAAGTGGAAAAGAGGAAAGAAGAGTTAGCTTGTTGGATGCTCTGTGGGCCTGAAAGACAAAAGGGAACAGATTCATATCTATACAGCCCATTTCTACTCACAGGAAGTCCTGGTGTTCCTGGAAATCCTGGAAGCCCTGGCGGTCCCTAGAAGAAAGTTAACCACATATGTTTTAAACAGTATGGTACAAATGGATGAGCAAAAGGATTTACCGAGATTTTACTAAATGTAACCTATTTGTGTATATGTAAGTAAAGTCAAACAGAAATATCTGAATGACCTGTAAAAAAAGAATGCCATGCTGGACAGCCACCAAGGTTCTTACCCTTCTTTCAGTGAAATAGCCACAAAAACATAGAGAAGACAATGCAGAACAACTAAAGCAATAGTATATAGAGAAAATAAATGAACATTCATGGTGTGGAAAATGGATGTGTCCCAATGAAGTCAGAGATGCATTAATTGTCACCAGCTGAGGGGTCTGACAAAAAGAAAAAGCAAAGGCACAAACCCTAAAGGATTTCCAGACAAATCAGCCTCTCTCATATTGACCCTACATATACTGTGACTACTTCAGAATAAATTGAAGCAAAGGTACTGGAGAGTGTTTAGGTCCTGTACAGCAAAACAGATCAAATACGCATTGGGGCTACTCTCCCTAACAAGTTTATGAAAGTAATACAAGCAATACATAAGATTGCATCACTTATGCAATCTGATATTACGTACAAAAAGTAATACAATCGCTTCTAGCCAGTACATAAATTACTCTTCAGATTTAAGTTAATTTTTTCCCCTCATAAATTACCAATTGCATGAAGACCCACTCAATGCCTGGCAGTCTTTACCCATAATTCCAATACACCACCCTAAAACGGCACCATTACTTACTCTGATTCCTTTGGGTCCAATAGGCCCTGGAAGTCCATCATCACCCTAAAAAACCCAAACAAACAATAAATGAAAAACCCCACACTGAAGTTTGCAGTTTGCCTTTCTATCAAAATAAACTGTAAGCATAATAAAATTTCTTCTACATGTTTATAGTAAGTGGACTAAATTGTCATTTCCTGAGAAAAAGGGTTAATTATTTTATTTTGGGTGTTGGACTTTGAATTGAAAAGTATTTGCCACAGTTGATAAACCGTGACTTAGATAAAAGTGTTTTTTAAAAAAAATCAAAGCTATTTAAAATTGCTTATAAGCAGATACTCATGATGTGCTTTCAAATATCCTACAGTGACCTCTTGTGGGCAAAACAAGATATACAAGACAATGTGAATGATAATGTACCATTATTATTTTGTATTATGATAATGCAGAGCTTCATATGAAAATATTAAGAAATTTATGAAATAAAAATAATAAAAGTTTCTAGTCCAAGACCCCTCTGTTTCACTCATTATATCCAATTTTCTTATAACCTTTTTTTTTTTTTTGCTTCTTTTTGATGTGCTTCTGTTAGTTTACAAAAGAAGTGACAGATGCTGGATAATCTTGCGTATATTAAATATAAATGGATTCAGAGGAAGGCTTTTCAGCATTTTAATACTATATTACACCATCTGAGCATAATGATGTAATTCAGTAGCAAATAAAAATAAACTGAAACCCTCCAGGGAAAGGAAGGAGCATTCCTCAGTTGCCTCTGCATAGGTTC